CGACGAGTATAATATTAATCGTAAAATCTTTATTGACGTGCCGTTCTCACCACGTTTGATACATTTAAGACTAATTTTAATAACTGTGTTCGACGATAGGTTTGCTCGTTAAAGCTCTTAAATATGCGAAACAAATACGATCATATACATGGATATATTTCCTTGAAATCTGAATATGTCACTGGACAGATACCATAAAGGAGTAAACGGAAAGATAAATCCAGTTGATTATTGTAATTTAGCATGAATATTTCTTCTTATTAAGTGGCAATATTCTCAATAAAAAAATAATAATAAAGATATTGTGTCAAAAGCAACACTTACTTGAATTTGACAGAAGAGTTGTGGACGTCGAGGTCAAGTACTTAGTCACGTCACTTTGGTATTCGATGGCCTCTTGTCAAGAAAATTCGGCACACTCGAAAACAACACAAAGTGAGAAAACAGCGGATTTACGAGCACTCGAAAGTACCGGCGAGCGGCAAGCCCCGACGCGTGTTTCTACGGCACAACTGGCTTTCGAGAATTCCCGCTTGGAATGCCCACGAGGACGAACGGTATAAGATGCTTCGACGTTGGCTGTCTCGACAAATGGAAAAGGCACGGTCGAAGCATCTTCGCCGCGCCTACAATTATGTGTCCGTGTCTATCGCTCCTCAATGCTCTTCGACTTTCAATTGCCTACACCTCCGTCAATGTTAATTTCTAAAGAACGGGCTATTTAACGTACCTCGAATTTTCTTCAAATAAATCACGAGTTTTTCAAATTAGTTTGAAAATGACTGAATTATTACTTATTTGATGTCAAGTCCGTGTTTCACTGTGAAGGAAAGTGACGAACGCGGAGAAATTTCTTTATATTACGTAAAAACACTTGTTCCGGTTATGCTGAAATACGGAATACCTAAATTTACGGCAAGGGATTTTAGTGATTTAGGAAAAAATTAATTTTAATTTGCTTAAAGTAAAGCAGGTTTACGACTTTTCTTTTTTATTGCCACGCAGATATAGTGGATCGTCTTTTATTCGTTTTCCCCGCACAAAATAAAATAGAATGTGGCGACAGAATTTCTGAAGACATGGTCACGTAATCAATTTTGTGGGGAAAAAATGATGGCTTACTGGAGGCTTAATGAGAATGTCGCGTCGGTAGGATTTGAAATTACGTGGATCAGAGAAGCTCACTAGGTAGGCGTAATATGCAGCATCGACAAAAAAGATTCGCTTAATATCTTGATCTCTTTTATAGCGAAATAATACTTTTTTCTTTAATTATTCTTTTTTCTTTTAATTATTCTACTCGTACATTTCTTGCAACATTCCTTGACGTGTTAACAGCTTTAAACATCTCTGAGACGTCTTCTTAAAAAAAGATATCAATTATCTCTAAATTTATAGAAGCCACCAAATGCATTATTCGAAGAAGCACTAACGACTACGAGTTGCGGAACGTGTTTTTCATTTCATTCAGTTAATCTATCGTCATATCTTCCGTCAAGCCCTCTACAAAATTCTGGTCCGCAATGACCTACATACTACTTGATCGATTAATTTTCCTTTGACCTCGTTCTTTTTGCAAATTATGAGGTATTTGCAAATCGTAATACGATAAATGATGAAGCAACAACAGAAATATAATAATGGAAGATCTAAATTATGGAATTAACAGAGTATTAGAGAGGTTATTATTAATTTCACGAAGATAACAATTACTATTCGAAGGGTTGGTGCAGTAAATGGCATTATTGTTAATAAAATATCTTATTTTATCGCATGCACTTTCGATGACATCCACTGCAATGAAATTTATACAAATACGTATCTGATGATGATTATCTTTGTCGTACATAAACATTTCATACTTCTTATCTACAATGAATTTTATAGAGTAATTATAAATCTTAAACGAAATAGTACAACCATCGTATAAATTTCAGTCACGATTAACCCCTTTCAGCACTGTGTCATCGTGTGACAATGCTGTACGCAGTCAGAAAATATTCGTTTCGTACGGCGACCGAATATTAATTTATCGAATAAGTTCATGCGTGGAATTCATACTAATGATGTTCATTCTCTTATAAAGTTAAATTAAACTGAAGAAATTAAAACAACGAGATCAATGTTGCATTAATATTATTCGAATAAAACATTGCGAAATATTAAAATTTTGATGAATACGTAATATCAGGAAAATATTAATAATAGGGTAATATAATAATATATTCAGGAAATGGTACAAAAACTGTTTAGCACAATAACGATAAGTTTTTCTTAATTCTGTAATTATCGTATACATTATAGTCGTATTGTACTAATATCCCATTTTTTGCAGAAGAATGACAGTGCTTAGAGATTTTAGTGTATAAATTTCCCTAGTATATAAGATGGCCACCCTGATGTCACTAGTCTAGGCAGATTATTCTAGCGCGTGACGTGGTGGGGAGATATCCATGTTACGCATGTTCAGCACCGGCACGTTTTTCGTTCATTTCCTTTTGGAACTCGAAGGTGGGAGGTTGTTTTATGGAGTGGTTCTTTGGCTTCAATAACCGTTTCTTTATACTCGCGTAGATGATTCATCTAATTACGGCAAGGTACACTTGTAAATTCAGAAAGGTTTTTAAGAAATTTACATTGCTTTTCAATTCACAAAAATTTTATTACGGCAAAGTTTGGGAAAATGGCTGAGTCTGTAAAGAATAGTGAATATGTAGGCCACGTGGCGAAGAAACTCACTCAAGAGGAAATCGAGAAAATGCAGGCGCAAAATTCGCGATTAGTTTCTGAATTTCGCGCTAATCAACTGGAAAAAGATGCTAAAAAGCATTGGGACTTGTTTTATAAACGAAACGATACTAGATTCTTTAAAGATAGACACTGGACTACCAGAGAGTTCCATGAATTGCTAGGCTTGGGTACGGAAAACGATCAAAAGATCCTTCTAGAAGTCGGATGCGGTGTTGGAAATTTCATATATCCATTGATCGAAGATGGATTGAAGTTTAAAATATTTGCCTGTGATCTTTCTCCTAGAGCCGTGGAGTTAGCAAAGGTATATATTTATTAATTCTTTAATTAATGTGTCTATACGGTTAAGAGCCTTACACTCTTATTCTTTGCAGAAACATATATTATATAATCCAAAAAATATAAAGATTTTCCAAACTGATATTACGACAGAAAATTGTTTCTGTGAGGTGGATTACTCTGTGAATATAGTAACGTTAATATTTGTATTATCGGCTATTAATCCAACAAATTTTAGAACGTGAGCTATACTCTATGCGTAATTTTTTACTTTACGGCAATCGTTGCCGATTTATTCAAAATTATAATATTTTAGGGTTGTGAAAAACTTGTATAACGTTCTTGACATTGGAGGGATTGTGCTTTTTAGAGACTATGGTCTGTACGATATGGCTCAATTAAGATTTAAACCTGGTCACAAAATCAGTGAGAATCTATATATGCGACAAGATGGAACTAGGTAAAATTTATTTACATTTTTCAACATATCACGAATTAATGTTACGTTCAAAATATATCATGTTCGACAACAAAGTTAATGCCAATATCTCATTTCAGGACGTATTATTTTTCAGAGGAAGAAGTATTAAACTTATTTGAATCAACTGGCTTTAAAGTTTTATCATGCAGTTACGTACAAAGACGTACTATAAATTTGAAAGAAAAAATAGATGTACCAAGAATTTTTGTTCAAGGAAAATTTGGGAAGTTTCAATAATGATGGTATGTCTTCATTGGTTATTAAAAAGGACTATCTTTAATGTACAAATGATGAGTTCATAGTTCAACTGATTTAGAATGAAGAGTTACTTAAATATCTTTCGCCCCTATCTGATAACTTCATAGGAAATAAATAAAATATTTACTTGCTTAAGGATTTTCATATCAATATATGTCTCCTTTGTGTTTCAGAGCAGTTATATGGCTGAATGGATGTAACTACACAATATCGCATATGTAAGTAGTAATTTCTTTCGTCTGCGTGAAATGTCATATGGTTGTAAAATTAATTACGCAATGACGTAAACATATTTTGAGTGAATTAAATAAAATCGTAAATTCAGGAAAAGATATATGGACGTTTAGAAGATATAGAATTACATTGAATTTGTTATACATTAATCTGTATACCTTCTAAAATTACGACAACATTATATCTTTTTTATAGAATGTAAAATGTTCAGAATATTTTGGTTTGGGATAAAAATTTATGATGAGTTTATAGTTCAACCGATTTAGAATGAAGAGTTACGTAAATGTCTTTTGCCCCTATCTGATAATTTTAGACTAAATATATAAAATATCTTATTGCTTGAAAGTTTTTAAATCAGCATATATTTGTTTTGTTTCAGAGTGGTTGTATGACGCAATGAAAGTGATTACGCAATATGGCACCTGTAAGTAGTATTCTTCTTTTACCTGGATGAAATATAATATGATCGTAAAATTAATGGTGCGATGAAGTAAACACACATTAGTGAATTAAATAAAAAATGGGAAGTTGAGGAAAAGAGATAGAAGTTTCACCTCTAAAATTACGACCACATTATATTTTTTTCTATAGAATGTGAAATATTAAAAATATTTTGATTCAGAATAAATAAAATTTATGATGAGTTCATAGTTCAACTGATCTAGAATGTAGAATTACTTATATGTCTTTCGCTCCTATCTGATAACTTTTTGACAATATTAAATGTGCAATGTAATAAATACCGATTTTATTGTAACGTTCTTTTTCTTTTTGTTACAGAATGTTAATTACTGGATCTGCAATTAATAAAAGTTGAATGTAATTGGTCATAAATGTTTTTGAAGTATCAGGATATTTGCGTTTCTTAAACCAGTGAGTGTTTCTTATGTAGCTTTTAATATAAATATTAATTTCCCATTTCAATGATGTATCTGTATAGATGTTTTTGATTTTTTATGATATGTATATACGTATTTCGTCACTACCTCTGAGAACGTAAATGTCTTTTGCCCCTATCTGATAATTTTAGACTAAATATATAAAATATCTTATTGCTTGAAAGTTTTTAAATCAGCATATATTTGTTTTGTTTCAGAGTGGTTGTATGACGCAATGAAAGTGATTACGCAATATGGCACCTGTAAGTAGTATTCTTCTTTTACCTGGATGAAATATAATATGATCGTAAAATTAATGGTGCGATGAAGTAAACACACATTAGTGAATTAAATAAAAAATGGGAAGTTGAGGAAAAGAGATAGAAGTTTCACCTCTAAAATTACGACCACATTATATTTTTTTCTATAGAATGTGAAATATTAAAAATATTTTGATTCAGAATAAATAAAATTTATGATGAGTTCATAGTTCAACTGATCTAGAATGTAGAATTACTTATATGTCTTTCGCTCCTATCTGATAACTTTTTGACAATATTAAATGTGCAATGTAATAAATACCGATTTTATTGTAACGTTCTTTTTCTTTTTGTTACAGAATGTTAATTACTGGATCTGCAATTAATAAAAGTTGAATGTAATTGGTCATAAATGTTTTTGAAGTATCAGGATATTTGCGTTTCTTAAACCAGTGAGTGTTTCTTATGTAGCTTTTAATATAAATATTAATTTCCCATTTCAATGATGTATCTGTATAGATGTTTTTGATTTTTTATGATATGTATATACGTATTTCGTCACTACCTCTGAGAACAAAAGATATTTTTAAATATAATATTTGTCCTCTGAAAAAAAATAAGAAAGTTTCCTTTTTACAGAAAGCGCTTTATACCTTAAACAAGAAGCGCTTTATACCTTAAACCTAACCCCAATCTACAGATCTTGAGATATAGGTAAATATTTAATTTAAAAAATAACTTTTCAACTATGTCATTTTAATGATGAATAAAATTGATATGATTTTAATGATTGAAATTCCATTAGCTCTATCTGAAAGTGTAATATGTATCTGTTGATCTTCAAAATAAAAAGAGGATATTAAAACAATACCTTCTTATGTTACAGATTATCAAGAGGGATATTTCTATGGAAAATGTAATATAAATTATATCTATGTTATTAATATATGTACATTTATGTGTGTAATACGTAATAAATAAAGCTATGTAATTGAATTGTTATTTTTATTTGCACCCTTTTTCATACATCTATTCTTCTATGAAATACCTATAATAGGTTCTTAGCTATAATTAAATTCGTTACATTAAAATTCATGAGAAAATATTAGCAAGGTATCGATATCGTGTTCCCAAGAAGGATTTGAAAGCGAAGCCGCAAAGATGAATAAATTGCACCGAGACTATTAATTAAGCAAAAACGTGCCGCGTTCCCAATTCCTTCATTCGTGTAAGCGTTTAAAACGAATGTAAGTTACAACATTTTTTAGTACAATATAAAGCATCCCCGTCAAATATTAAAAATCCATATGTACAAATAATTATTAGTAAATTTATCGAATGAATTATTTTTATACATACATACTCAGACAAAGATAGTCTTTCCAAATGTAATATTTAAAATAATAAAAAGAACACAAATATCTGCCTTTCTAAAAGAAATCTGATAAGAGATTGATGAGGACTATTTTCACTTTTTTGGCCTTGAAATTTCAAATCGCAGTCAACTATCACATCATTAAATTATAATAGTTTATTTGAAAAAAGTGTTACTCTATACGTAAACACGTATAATTTTACATTTCTTATAATTATGTTTGTGCATATGCAATCAGGTCGACCAGAGAACCGGATCCAATATTATGAGAACACGCAGTTTTTTATCAATTTAGGTTCTCGAAATGGGATTTTTTGTTCCTACCAGATTTGAGTGGAAACAGATAAAAAAAAATGGTCGGAAGAATCACTATTCGCAGAAAATGCAGATGAATTCAAAATACCGGCGGAATCGGTATGCAAACGGTCACCCACCGATTTAGCAAAGCCTGGCAGTACGCATGCGTCGTAGAGGACGTTAGGCAATGACCGGGATTTCCCCCGAAATTTAAATTCAAATCGTCAAGGGCATGCCCTTCGATCGTGAGGTGCGTTTGATTTTGAATTCGATCTTTACGCTATCTATTATAATCAATCGATCGTATTGTATTGTCGCAAAACATATTATTTTAATTATTTATGTATTTCATTTCTTTCTTCATTTCTGGATCTAATGTCAGACTATATAATCTAGTCTAAACTCTACTTTTTAACAAAACATTTACAATGTTCATTTTTTTCAGGAATAGCATATAAAAATCCATAATCTCAATATCGTGCAAAATCGTAACCAAAATGTTTTTTACCACACATGAAGGCGATGGTTGTGCACCATAAATATTCCATGTATCAGATAATGTCGTTTTTCTTTCATATGATTTATTGTTTTTATTAACCAAATGTTGCAGAAACAACTTGTTTAAAAATATTTTTCCTAAAATCGTTAACAAATAAAATGTATTGACATCTTTCTTATTATGTTATAGTTGACCGGTACTCTCAATATCGAAAAGAAACTTTCTCATTCTTTTTCTAGTTTTATTCAAAGTCACATATCATAATCGTTAAAGTTCAGAGAACTTGTTACAATTATATCACGACGTAAAGAAGAGTTATTACGTCGTATGAGGTAAACGTAAAACACTTTCGTTCGTATTTGGCCGATTGCCAAGGTCCCTTGCTTCACCCGCGTGCCGTGCATCAGAGGTTGTACTTACACGGGATTGCTTCGGGAATACGTGAACGAGATTCCTTAGCAGACCTCGTCGTCTCCGACAACGTTGACAGCACACGTACTTACACAGGTTACGTATGTGACTCCGTAAACAATAGGACGTGTAACAACCCCGTGCAACATCCACCAGCTCACGCACACACGCATGATACACGTACGATACGCGTGTCCTCGTACATTGATCAATCGGTGAGTGACGCGCATAGGACAATCCGCTCGTCAGGTATATAAAGGTATCCACCAAAAAGCAAGAGCATCATTCACTCCCAGTTCAACACACGAGCTGATCCAAAGATCTACCAAACCTATCAACAATGAAGTGCTTCGTTGTAAGTAAAATAATTACGCTTCTACATAACAAATGTTTAGTAAAAGCATTGTATAATTTAATTTCTCTTTATTCAACGTTTGCTGCTTTGCGAAAACAGCAAAAGATATGTGTCGTGAATTGAATTTATGACCACACCGTGGTTTGGCAAGATATAGGTATCCTAGTAGCTGGAAAATTAAATATATTCTATGGAAAATGTATAATTTGCAATCATTCGATAACGCATATAATTCAATTGCTCTTATAGGCGTAAGGACAATGCTGATTTACTAAAACTTTTGATTACTAAAACAGAAGATAAGATATAATGAAATAAAATATCATAGAGTCGTACGTGAGATCCTCTTCCAATTTTCATTCACTTATCAATTGTAATCGGATCAGCAAACTGAGATTGCACATTCGCAAAGGAAAACTATCGATATAAATACTAAATTATTACTATTTATTTTCAGGCTATCGTTCTCTTGGCTCTGTTCGCTGTAGCCTTCGCTGCAGAGAAACCAGCAGAACCTGAAAAGATTGAACAGCTGTCAAACGCAGAAGCTGCGGAGGCACCAAGAGACAAGAGAGGCCTATTGCTGAGCTACACTGCACCAGTTGCACCAGTTGCACCAGTTGCATACACTTCTTATGCTGCAGCACCAATTACCTACAGTGCTAGTTACAGCTTGCCCTATGCCTACCGCTCGTACCCTTACTACTACAACTCTTACTATCTGGGTTAAATCACATGTCTTAAAGCTAGCACCATGGGATGTTCGTAATTAAGACTAAGGAAACGATAATGGCAATTGCAAGGATTTTTAACTGAATCGTTTACGCTACATTAGTTTAAGTAAGCCCAGAATAAAAGCTAAACAAAATTTGTTCCGATGTTAACATTCAGTGCGCTCACTACTATTTTTGGATGTAATTTTCAATGTACACGTGTTTCGGCAAACTCATGTTAAATGCGATACTTTGTTGTATGTTACAATGTTAAATACAGAATACAATTCAATTTATACATGTTCAGCATTATTTTCCCCATATATTTAGTATAATGACGAATCCTCTAACTACAGTTACTGGAACTGTATTAACGAATGTACGTGGAAAATAATATTCGACCCAATCTATAAGGAGTCGATGATTTAAATTCTACTTTTAATATAGACACAATGTATCCTATGGCAGTATATGATTCATAATACGATCTTATTAAATATGCACCTAAGGCTTCATCTCTAATATAAAAATGCATGTTACATTGTCGTTACGTTGGTGCATTGTCACACAGTAGACTTCCTGTCACAGGGAACAGCAAGTAGCAACAAATGACATCATCGGATGCAGTTTGGCGTTGCAATTTGAGCGTCATTTGGGATAGTTATGCAGTTATAGTTATGCAGTCATAGTTATGCAGGGATAGTTATGAAGTCATTAGAATAGCGAAACGAAGCTATGCCCGATGTTGGTGTCGGCACACTGTTTCCGCCTATTACTAATAAACGCGTGCATGTATAAAGAATGCGCCATACCGCGATTCCTTCGGTAGTCGATAAATACTATGCAAATTGATAAAGATGGGATGATAAAGACGCGATGAATTTTAAGGGCGAATCTTGAAAACCAAAAATTCGTGAATCTATGATACTCTATAGTACACAGATCGTGTTATCTAATCGAGATACTTTTGATAAATAAAAATGGGTAACTGTAAGCGACGTTTGAAACATTTCAAAGAATTCGAGCATGCGTGACTTACGTATAATCAGGAATTACACAATACGAATATATCACGATATACTTATTCTGTATTCTTTGGGACTTGACGGTTTTAAGTACTTTCACTAAGGCTATGAAGGCTTCGAACGCTTCGGAGAATAAGGACGTGATGGGAATAATACATACAGGCGTTATTCTCCATAAGTATATTTTTGAGGGAGCGAACGGAAGTTGAAGCGACGTTGCGTTTCCTTTTTGCAAAAACAGCATTTAGATTTAGAGACAGCATAGCAAAGACAGCGTAAGATTTATGCAAGAAAGTCTGAAACGAAGATACGGCTAAAGTTGAATTGTTCGTACTAGATAGTATCAGAATCGTGTATCAGAACCCTTAAGACACGACGGAAGCCCGTGCGTCTTTCTCACTTGTATAGTTCTCGTTAACGACCTCGAATATAGATTTCACGAAACTGATTTTGTCGTTAGTTGCATAAAATTGTTCTTATGCGATTCAATTCTCCTTTTATGAGTCTTACTTTGCTCTCGTTGTTTAACTTGACGCGTTTCTTTGGAAAAAAGTGTGTTAAGCCGATCAAATATTTGAATAGTCAGGAGAAGACAATACTCTACATCGATATGTGTAACATCACCAATCCGTAACAGCATTGCCTAAGTGCGATCGATGAAAGCCAGCAAGAAAGTCTATTGTAATTCGTGGATGGTCGCGACCCGACTGTATTTATACATGTGCAGGTATGGCCGTGGTCTTAGTCGGTGCGAGCCTGTCCATCTCTGAAGAAATTAGTTTTACTTAAAGTACTCTGATTACATGTCGAAGGAACCTGCGGCAATTACAATTCTAGCGTAGGAACATCCGATTAGTGTAGTGATAAGTGCAATTGAATTACAAACATGAAGTTCCTTTTAGTAAGTATACTGCATTTGTAAACACAAACCAAATTTTCAGCAATTACGTTCCTATATGTGTAAGTGATGTGACACAGTTTCGTGATTTATATAGTTAATGCGCTAATTGTTATATTATTTTAGATAACGTGTCTACTGGTTACGAGCTTATTATGTGTCACAGCGAAAACTGAAACCGAAGATACTGAAGAAAAAACAGAAATTACGAAATTGGAATTAGTAGATCTTGGCGAGGGGGATAGCGATGCCGAAACCAAAGAGTCGGAAGTTCAAAAAAAGAGAGATTCGGGATATTCCTATAGGAGACCGGACAGTTTTGCATTAGCTTCGAGAGCCCGTTTCCAAGTCGGGCAATCTGGCCACAGAGGACGTATCGTTAATAGACATCCTGCACAAATAAATAGACCTATTACCAAATACGGACCACCGGGTTATCAGAATTCATCTCCAATAAGACCTGCATCACACAGTCAACAGCACCGAGATAAATTGCAATTCCAGGGTCATTTCAGTCAACAACATTCGAACAACTTTGATGGTCGTCCTAGTGGTTTGCTGGAACAAGAAGTACCGAGTCCAATTAGACAGGTCGATTTCGTCGAACCGAATCCAATATCCACTCAAAACGATGAACCTTTCGCGACTCACTCGGCCAATTACTTACCGCCGCAAAATCAAAGGTTACCTGGTTATTCCGCACCGCAAGCTTTTTCCCCGTTCCAAGCAGGACAGAATTCTAAAGGTGGTGGTCAAGGTCAGTCATTAAACGTCCAAAGTCAGAGCATCGTACAACCGCAAGGACAGATCTCGGATGCGACGCTGTTCTTAACGCAAAATGCTCAAGCGATACAACAACTTTATGGTGCGCCCCCGAACGAACAAGACTTTGCACCACACACCGATCAATTCTTAGGTCACAACAATCAAGTTCAGAATCCGAATGGTCAGTTTCAAAATTTCGAGAGCAATTTGCAAAGTCCGCAAAGTTTCCCAGGACCTCTGCCGTCATACGCGTCTGGAACTCTTAGCGCCCAAGAAACTCTAGAGCAAATACAATCTCTCGAAAAGGACAGATTGATTGCTCAATTACAGCGAGCGCTCGTAACTCAGACTCAGGCCCAAAATGCAGATGCAGCAGGAAGGTACGCTCAAAATCAGCCGAGCTTCGTTCAGAATCAAGATCTTCTGGCTTCCCTTGGACAGCGAATGAAGATTCACGGTTTAAATACACAACAGAATACCGTAAACTTGGGCTCTGGAAATACAGCTTTCAATCAATCACCTTTTTTGCCAGGGACAGCAATCAGTCCGGGGTTTCCGCTTAGCTACGGACTGTCGACAACTATTCAGCCTCCAACTACCACTACAACGACAACGACCACAACCGTGCAGCCTCCTCAGGCTGCTAAAGGCGATGGAACCTCGCAAGTCGGTTCTTCCGTACCTGCGCCACCCCTATCGCCATCCAGTCCAGGAGTTCCCGTTTACGGTGGATTTGTTCCTACTTTAATCACCGGTGCGGCTTTCGCATCGAACGTACCAACTTACGGTCCTACTTTCTTTGCACCCGGTGCCATCGCATCCGTTCAACCATCAGGATCTTTCCCTACACATTTTGGACTACCCATTCCCACAGATCCTAGTCAGAAACCTGGAACGAAACCATCCACGGTTTCTACAACTCCGTCACCTTCTTCGACGAATCAACCTAACGCTCCTTCACCTCCGCCAGTTAGTACCGCGCCACTTCCTATACATCCTGTTGCAACTCCGCTTCATCCAGTCGTAACTCCTCTTCATCCAGTAAGTCCTTTGCAACCGGTGCTTCCTCCGACGTCGACACACGTGCATCCAGTACAAACTCCGTCAACGACACATCCGTCTTACGGATTACAAACGGCGGTAATCAATTCACTTCTATACAAGCCCATCAAACCGGTCTATCCATTCTACTATTACCAGAACGTCGCATATCAGGTACCTAAGCCGACGTTACCAACTTATCCGTGGAGCTACGCGCCGACCTATGCTCAAACGAAACCGACCCAGATATGGAAATGACGTTGATCTTGTTCTTTGCGGGTTAATCGTAGCTTGCTTTTTCGTATCGAGACTGACTGTTTACCCACGCGGAAAAGAAAACCCGAGAAGTTGGAGAAGTAAGGGGCCATGACATCGTATCGAGATCGCACTAACATGATTCAAGAATAACGAAATACGATGTTTTCGTACATGTGATGGACGCAGTTGCGCTTCGTGTATCCGCAAATTTTAATTCTATGTTGTACGACATCGATCTTTCTATCTTTTCAATAATTAGTTGTATGAATGTAGAGTTGGCAAGTTGGACTTTCTTCGGTTGTCAGAAGTATTCTAAATATTACTAATTTTTTGCTTTTTTTCTTTTCAACTTATAAATCTTTGGTATTATTGGTAAAAGGTATTTCCAATGTTATATGTATAAAAATAGTCGAGGTTTTACTTTTCACACGAGGTGGGATAAACGGGCAACTATTCGTGCTTTTATACTACTTTATATTTATATAGGTTAATGCGATTTCATACATTTCTATTCGCAGCATCGACATGCCATTAACATGCCACATCGAATTAACATTTTCGATATGTTTGCCTTTTTTTTTTTTTGTTAATTGCGTACGATTTTTCGATCGAATGATGTATATACCAGTTTTATTTATTACCTCAAATAAATATTTTTCTACCTTCGAAGAAATTCTATTTTTATTGACTGTATATAAAAACAAAGAGAGCAGAAACTTTATAAGATCGACTCTAAATCGAACGTCTCTACTCAAAAAAAAATTCAATTCACAGGCGGTGTACTCGTTTCACTGCTAAAGAAAGTAAGTACACCCTAGAAAACCAACTGTCTCCATTTCCGGCCCGTAAACCTACACCAAGGAACTCTCACCGAAGGCTTAATGGCCGCCCGACCGATCTGTCATGGCTCATCGTGACCTCAAAAGTGGTTCGATAATTCTAATCACGATCGGTTTATCGTTGAACAGATTATTCGGATAATCCTAAGCATATACGTATAACAGACTCTTCGTCAACATTCATATTTTTCCGCCGCTCTTATACACTTTTAACAGCAGTATATTTGCATGTCTTCTTTGTTTATTTATATTTTATAGTTTTACAGTTACGCTCAGATTGTTTTACAGTTTAGAGTTAGACTGGTTTCTTAACTCGATGGTGCACGATAAACGAGTCGTACTTCGGAAAGGGAGTGACGTTATGTTGTGGCGCAATGCAGGCGCAAAGTCTATCAAAGAATCGTGTGGCCGAGTTACTTACATGATTATACCGCTAAACGTACTAGATTTCTACAAATACAGAACAGGTGCAATTGCTTTCGAAGTGGATAGCCATTTCATTTTCCGCAAGCCGCGGGCTTACACAAAGGAAAGGGCAGCAGTTACAAAGGAACGACTTAGATAGATGCTACTACTTCACAATTCACATAGGAAACTTGTTGTCAACTCACTTTCCGCGACTGACCTGAATCTCATTCTATTTCTTGTTTTAGTGCACCTCGTGCACTTTTACCGTTTTACTTCGAACTTGCCCAGTCGGGATTTCTTTTCCAAAAAACTGTTTATATCTTGAGAAATCTAGAAATTGGATGAGCAGAAAATAAACAGAGTTAATCTCTTACACGGACAGTTAGCGACGCGGTTATTATTTACCAACGTTAACAGATCCAGTAAACTTCACATTTTTTCCACTACCTAAAGTCATTTACATTTTTTTATGTGTTTATGCACATATAGAAAATATAGGAAGGAACGGTATTCGCTTTTTATTCATTTTATTCGCTATATATTATCAGGAGATAATGAATCGATTATAATGTAGGAAAGCGTATCGAACCTCAACATTTTTTGTGGACATTAACAATTTCTGAATGTTTGAGTTATTTAAAACGGCCACATACACGATGCAACGTGTTATTATATACACGGTACAACACATTGGCAGAAAACGTAACCATGAGATTGCTAATTATAATTTATTTCCCATGCAAATGATGTATATATATGTGACTATATAAACGTCAAGAAAATGTTTCACGATTTTCGTTGAGACCGAAACATGTTGTGTTTTAATACAGCCATTTAGAAGAAAATAGATATCTCAAAAGTGTTTGTATTTACATATATTTAATTGAGTTACTAATTTGGTATGCGAACGATATTTATTATATCTTATAATTACTGATTATTCATAGTCCATTTAGTTAATTATATTTAATTTTGTGTCATTAATATACGTCCTAGGATACTCTGTTCCTTCGCTATAAAAAGCTAAAGATGTTTTCAATTTTTTTGATCGTAATTTACGCCGAAGTAGCATAAATTGATTCAACGAACGATCCCATTGGCAAAGAATTCGTAGTTCTGATTGTTATTGAGTTTCATTCTAAAAGCCTGCAGCGAATAAAGACGGTCAGCTTCCTTCATCCCACGAGTGAAAGTAAAACGAAATCAATCGGCGTTTTCAACTGTTATAGTTTGTGGACACGTTGGAAGACGTTGGCCGCTGCTTCGTATTTTATTAGTCGCTACCGTCTTTTTGCAGTTACCTCTTTTCAACACCACTATCAGCTTCTCTGTCAACGATATGATTATCCCGCGCGAAAATAACAGCACAAGAACACCTAAACGTACGTCATTTTTTGCCGACTATCCGCGCATTTCACTTTCCAACATCGAAATTACTTTCAGTAGCTTCCGAAGGCGGAGCATGTTTGCTACATGAACCACACCTTCGCTGTTCCTTTCATATTGTGACACATCGTAATTGCGCCCACAAAAGGCGGAAAATTAATGTTTTCTTCACGAAGCTTCTGCAGCAAAACAACATATTACAAAAGATCTTGGCATGTCGTATTTTATAATATGCACCGTAGTAGCAAATCGAGAATGTCATGCTTTTATTTTTTCAGAATTATATGTATTTTTTTCTTTTTTTTTTTTTTTTGCAGAATTATACCACAAATTGAGCATTTTGTATGGAAGGAAAAGGATACGAATAACATTTACCGTACAACGTGGCAAATTTCACAGAAATTTGTAATAGCTATACCTTCTCGACGTCAATTATCTACCAAGAAGAATTCTTAAATTACCTAAAAATTAATTAATAGGAAACCTAATATTTCAAACCGGCCAACAAGAATCCATACCGAAGTTTTACGAATACAGGAAAACGTAGATTCGTCCGTGTAGCATGATACATTCGTATTGCGTTTTGATAAAGCTTCTATTTCACTTTTAACTGGAAAATCTGAAGAAAAATTGTACGCTTACGTTCCAATTACTTTCGTGTCTGTCGCTATGAATGTAATCTCAGGAAGGAAATCATTTTCTTTCTCTTTATTTATAGGAGTACATCGACTTCACCGAAAGGAAATGTCTGGTTAAGATCGTTAGAAACAATGACCGATAAATATCAATTCGAGAACTTTTACCATCCACGACATTCTCATTTGCAAATTTTACCATTTCATGATAGATTAGACTACAATCTTCTGAAACACGTTTCTGTGGAGGTGGAGGTGTACTAGTACCAGCATGGAGAGACTCACCTTCACCTAGACCTTTCTTTCACCATGCAAGAGGGGATTTGTATATAAAAGCTCTCTTCTGGGTAGCAATGGCATCAGAAACCACAATTTCGCTTACATACTCGGTTGTCACTTGACCACGAGAAGTAACATACAGAATAATCTCGCTTAGGATCAACATGAGATCATTAGTAAGTGTATCACGGTAAAATTGAGCTCAATTATTTTCTATATATTTCAAATTAACATTCGGTGGTAATTATATATCTATTCTGTTACTGCCATATAAAATTTATGAAAGATTATTTGATCGAACATTTTACAGGTGCTTTTGGTCCTCGTAGCCACGGCTATTATAAGCGTTTCCTGTCGAGAAACGAAGGGAGATAACCGACCATTGAGACCTCCGCCGAAGGGCAAGCGTGGCATCGTTGAATATTCCGGAGGCTATTCGTCCGGTGGATCATCCTACAATTCTCCTCTTATAAGTTCCGGATATAGCGGCGGATCTTATTTAGGACATTCGGCAGGTATCCAAAGTTTAGGAGGTGGTTCTTTGGGACATGGTTCTTTGGGATATTCTTTGGGATCTGGAGGACTCAGCCTGGGTTCTGGACTGAGTCATGGCGCGGGTCTTCAAGGAATTAGTCTAGGAGGACACTTTGGACAATCTTCGTACGCGGGGTCGAGCCTAAATTCCATCGGAGGAGGAGGAGGAGGAAGTATCAGTTTACTTAGTTCATCCTCGAAGAATGGACCAGTTACTTTCGGCATCCACGGAGGCGGTATCTCTTCAGGCAGTTCCAGTTCTAGCGGTTACTCGGCGCCAGCCTACGCAACGGGAATTCATGGGCTGTCGTCGTACGGCGGTGGTGCTTCGAGCGGTATTAGCCTTCCAGCGATGTTAGGATCCGGGCATGGCTCCTCGTACAGTTTGCCGGCAGCGTCGCTGAGTTCGCTGGGTAGTTCTTCGGGACATGGCCTATCAATCCAATCTATCGCCCCGAGTTCGTCCTACCATTCGGTGAGCGGAGGTTTAGTAATTGATTCGAGTTCGCTTGGAAAAGGATCCTCCAGTTACAGCCTCCCTGTGTCTTCCTCTCACGGAAGTTCCAGCAGCTACTCTCTCCCAACGTCCTCGGGATCTCACGGAATATCTAGCCTCTCTTCCAGTTCTGGTGGATCTGCCAGTTACTCCCTACCAATCTCTTCTGGATCATCTAGCGGTCACATAAGCCTTTCCAGTGGATCTTCCGACAGTTCCAGTTATTCTTTGCCTGTTTCTTCTGGATCCTATGCATCTGGATCATCCCATTCTAATTACATACCATCTTCCTCCGACGTGTCGTATTCATCGGGTGGAAGTTCCAGCTATTCCAGTCCCTCGTCCAGTTATTCCGGTTCCGGTTCCAGCTACTCCGGATCAGCTTCTAGCTACTCCAGCCCTAGTGTCAGCTACTCCAGCCCTAGCGTCAGCTATTCCAGTCCTAGCTCCAGTTATTCATCTCCTTCCACTTCGTACGGCACCCCTGTAGAGTCCCATGGTTCCTATTCGAATCTCAGTCCTAGATACATTGCATACACCAGTTCAAAAGGCTACGATGGTTTGAATTCCGGCAGTAACAAATACGATACGATTTCGTACTCCAGTCCAAGTGGAAAGTATTAAATTATAGAATTGTCAAACGATCCCACGAGATACGTACTCTTTAATAGACGACCGATCGTGGACCATTCTTAGATAAATCGATCGTGAATGTACGAACGAAACGTCCAAGGGTCGTAGGATATTTTACTAATTTATACTTACGCTTTTAGCATAATTATTTTATTTAAAACGCCGCTGCGTATTTATATTTCTGTTGTTTGCTTCGAGTACCGTTGTATATGTTGCGTAACATCGATATTGTGATGTTTGTTTTATAGTTTTATACGTACTGTTTACAATAAAACGATTCTTTTTATAACCAGTTGATTGTTTCACACTCCTCTAAGCGGAGCGCAAATTTAATACTTGTCTGACATGTTGCGCTTAATGTACATATTCGTTAATATGGCTAACGTTTTCGATTAAGAAACAAGCATTTGTTACATATTGCTCTATTTTACTAAAATACTCGAACGTTTCTTTTAAGTTTAAGTTTAAGTACAAAATGATTTGATCAGTCCTTTTGGTGGTCGTCTTCGTTAACGTTATTTCTCTTATTGATTGTCCATACTTAAAACTCACGATGGAAAGATTTTTTACTTGTTCATCTTTCACGGTGAAAGTATTGGTAGCAAGAAAGGTAGAAGAGAAGGGTCGTTATATACTATAAAGATGAGGACAAGAAACAGTGTCAAAGCGTAAAAAGAAGATCACTTTTACTCCAAGGCCAGCTCTGGCGAAATGAGCAAATTCCTTTCTAAACTTTTGTTCTTTTTGGGAAAGTACCCGACGAGGTGTATACACTGCAAGCCGGTCACTACTCGTCTGCAGACCGGTTTAATACGATGTATAAGGAAACTGTTCTTTTGCCACTGCCCTTATTTCTATGACAGTAACGGGACTTCTTAGATTACCGGTATAATATAACGATATTTTGTCCGAAGAAAGCTAAGCTTACAAATATACTTAAGCAAAGAACCAATTGCATATCTTCCATTCGGCTTGATTAAAAGCTTCGTAGCGAAATAATTTGAAAGTTTCAGTTTAAATTAGCCGGAGAGTCTTGTAATTTTGTTTAAAGTCTAAGTTAATCCGGTACTTTTCGAACGAGAACGTGCATCGAAGGATTAAAGTAACCCAAGAGCTGTATCGAAGCAACTGGAAACGCGGTGAAGCTTGAAAACTTCGTTTACTCGTTAAGCTTTCCAAGGGAAGTACAGTTTTATATTTCTATACGAAATATTGGAGGAAAAATTCTTTGAAAACACTTGTTATCTACCTAACTTCTGTCAAATTTTTATACTTATTTATTATCCATTTTTACATGTTTTTTTTCGCGTATCGTTCCTTTTCGTACCCTTTTCTCTTCGCTTACTATCCTTTGTTGAATTTGCAGTGTAAAGCAACACCCACATAGAAGAAAGTGCAGAAATGCGTCGGTGCAGTATTCTCTCGGTACCAATCTCGTACAAGCATGACCCACTTTTCAACGATCGCACGTGCGCACGGACGAATAAACACGCATTCTCCTCGAAAATGACATCGATGAAGATGCTCGTAGAATCCTTGGGCCGGTCGAGACAAACGTAGAATCGGTGCATCGGCTAGACGATAGGAAAGTCACATTTCACTGTTTCCCAACTGGTTTTGCGAGCGACATACTTGCACTTCACTCTTAGATCGGTGCCAATGACGTGCCTGGAGCGAAAACAGGGAAAACTCAGCTCTTACTCTTCTTCTTAATGATTAAAATCGCTATCGTGATTCGTGCAATTTGTTCGATGAATCTCGCACGAAGATTATATTCATCAGTTAATCATAGAATATTAAAATATACTTTAGATATACGATATACGATTCCTTTCATTCGAATCCCCTCGCATTGGAAAGGGATACTTTCTCAAGCAATACGTATTCGACGTATCGTAGCAATTGGCTATCATTTCAGCAGCGAATAGATCTACTCGAAAGATGGTCTCTCTCTATTTATCACCGCGGGTTACACCAATCGCGTGGTCATCGAAGGCGTGGTGCTCGTAGCGAAGATTCGTACGAGATCGATGCAACGAACGAACGTGGTGCCGGTGAAAGTAAAGTTAGTCGAACAGATGGACACGAGTGGACCGCCCGCGAATTGATTCGAAAAAACATCCGCCTTAAGAAGCGTTTGCACGACCGGAACTGAAAAGATTCTTCCGAGAGCATCGTGAAACGTTTTACTTCCGCGATCACACCACGATCTTCCAAACAAATTACTCTCCTACCTTTTTTAACTTCTCCAACGAAAGAGATCGATCCGATTGTGTTTAGAGGATCGCGTGCTAAGTAAGACACTCTCCGTTTCTCTGTTACTCGCCATTTGCTGCGACCACGAGAACATCGCAGCGATAATTATTTACCGTCCGTTTAAACTCTGAACGGGCTTATCTTGTCCACCGTGAACGAGAGCTTTCACGCTTCGCCTCGGTCGGTCGTTGTCTTTATTTCCTTCGTGACAAGATGGATTTATCCCACCCGCTTCACCTTAGACCAGTTTACCGTAGCATACCTTACACTGGCAACGAGACCGGGAGGTGTTTTACTA